CTACTTTTTTGTGCCTGCTACTACGCTCTAATTGCGTTATTTCATTTTCCTTCAGCTGTTAACTTTATTTTATCTCGGTTTTTCTCCCCAGAGGAAGCTACAACGGTGTTCTGCTGAGCTGTGGTAGCCTCCTGGAGGGAGCCAACGGCTGGCACACTGAACATTCTGCTCCCATGGTGTCCATGTAAAATAAAAAAACTTTAAATAACAGGCATAATAAGGCATAATAGACTGAACTAAATGCACTGATTGAGTAGGATCGGTGGAGCGTTCCCTTTGTGAAGTGCCTTGAGACGACTTGTGAGTGGTGGTGTATAAATAAACTTAACTGAATCAAATGCAACTGAGCTTCTTTAAACTGCACATTTACAATCAACAAGCTGAATAACGTTCCAGATTCTTGATTTCTGAAATTTGAAAGAAAATAAACATCTTCATTAAAATGACTCAATATGCTGCTGTGAAAAACACAGACAGAGAGACAGGAAGCAGAGCTGGAGGAGGCTGCACTTTTATGCAAATGTTGTTTTTCATGCAAGTCATTTGAATTCTGGAAGGCAAATGTCCTGCTAAGAAAAGAACGAAGAACATCCATCCCAAAAAGAACAGCCTAGTTCTCAACACCATGTTTCTTATGAATTTATGTTTGTTTAAATTGAAATGGCTCGCTGGTTCCATAAAACAACAGTGGGGTTGAGAATAACATACTCATTTTTATAACTAAAAGCGTTGATGGAGGCAGAGGGTCGGGTTTGTTATCAGAGACAGTGACACGCCTTACCAGACACATAAAATCTACATGTTGGCTGTGAGAAGTAGGATGGGAGGTAGGTCACTGGAAAACTAACACTCAAACAGAGACTTCTGTTTTTATGACATTTTCTAAGAAAAGCTGTTTTTCATATCTTGAAGCTGAGAGCTACAGATCTTAATCACCCCAGTCGGAGAATCAGGCCCTCTGCCAAGCTGAATACATTCAGTTACTCCAGGTAACAACAACAAGCCTTCTGTCACAGACACCCAGAAGCTCTGGAGCTGGAACCAAAGACCAAAAACGAGAGTGGATCAGGCAGGAAGGTCCCTGCATTCCTTGGCAGGTTTATTACACAAGAGATATCATAATTATCTGTAGCCAATTACGAGAAATTACAAAAGAAGATCAATGATGGTTTATTGAGATTAACAATAATTGGGAAAAAAGCAGTAATTTGCATGAATGTTCTGCCAAGATTTTTACTCTTGTTCCAATCCTACCAACTCAGCTCCCACAAATAATTTTTAAAAATTGATAGAATGTTATTAAAATGTGTTTGGGAAGGTCTGTCTTCTTCTTCCGGCTCTTGGGAGAGTACCAACGCTTTTTTTCCTCCTCTCCTCCCTATCTTATCCCCAAGGCTCTTTGTCTGTCTTTGGGTGTACGGCGCTTCTGCATTTTTTCTGGAAACTGGAAATTATTAAAAATGGATCTGGTCAGTTGGTCTCTCAACGCGATTGACAAAATTTTCTCAACGATGAGAATGGGAGAAGGGGCTCCCGGATGCCCCTCTGGGATAGAGCCAGCTGGGCATATCATGGACTCCTGGAAACAGTGGAACCTGATCTGCGTCTCTCAACTGTCTTTAGAGGATTCTGAAGACGTCTGGATATTCGTGGTGTTGGTGTCAGGTTTCCTGCTTTTTGGCCTGGGAGGTTACCTGGCTTACCGGAAAATTAACGAGCTGTCGGGGAATATTGGCTCTTTCCCGGAGCTCAGGGATGGATTACACCGCGTTGTGAACGCATAAACTCATATAATTGTCGAGATGAGTCGTAAGCTTGGAACTTTGGCTGAGATTCAGATTCTGGCACAAAAGATGGATGCGATCAAGGAGCGAGTGGACAAATCAGCACGGATTGGGATAGATTAATTTACGCCATTATTGGATTTTGAGAGGTTGGAGACCAACAGAACTTTAAAACAGAGAGGAAATTATCTCTGTCTGGCCCCAAAACAATTTCTTATCTGAATCTGGTGCCCTTGAGCCTGTGAGGCTGAAACGAACCCCCCGAGAAGAAATGTAGAATGCTGCTGTCGCCATGGCAACTCTGTCTCCCTATCCCAGCCTGGGCGGGACTGCGACCGGTGAAGGTCGTGGAACCATTTCCAGGAGTCACTGTGCTTTCTAAACCCAACTACCTCCTTCCCCTGTCCAAACGGAGGTGACGAGCGCTGCTTATCGCGGCTGCATGCACTGATGTTTGGAGAGTCCTCTACCCTACCTCTCTACCTAGTGGACACTTGTGTTGTGTGATGTCTGAAGTCTGTTGCATATCTGTCTGAGGTGTTTTTTGCATAGCAAAGCTGCCCTCCCTGTGGAGGGTAACTCTGAAGTGCCTTTTTTTCCTCCATACAAACCCTCGTATACAAACCCTCTGATCACTATTAAGGTAGCGCGACTCAGGGTTGCAAATGACCACAGTCACCAATTCTTGTCATGTGTCTATGTATGTATGTTTGTCTGATCTTGTGTGATTGTGTGTACTGAAACTCTAATTTCCCTCTGGAATTAATAAAGTATCTTTGAAGAGGTCAAGGATAAGATATACATTTGAATGAAAAGTAAAAATGAGTCACTTTCAAGTGCCCTTGTTGATTTCAAACTGTACCAAAAGGTCTGATGTGTGCTTGAGAGGTTGTGGTCAGGTAGGAGGCTACATACAGGTGCTGGCCAGTAAATTAGAATATCATCAAAAGGTTGAAAATATTTCAGTAATTCCATTCAAAACGTGAAACTTGTACATTATATTCATGCAATGCACACAGACCAATGTATTTCCGATGTTTATTACGTTTAATTTTGATATTTATAGGTGACAACCAATGAAAACATCAAATCTGGTATCTCAGAAAATTAGAATATTCTAAAGGCCAATGAAAAAATGTTTGTTTCTCTAATGTTGGCCAACTGAAAAGAATGAACATGAAAAGAATGTGCATGTATAGCACTCAATACTTAGTCGGGGCTCCTTTTGCCTCAATAACTGCAGTAATGCGGCGTGGCATGGACTCGATCAGTCTGTGGCACTGCTCAGGTGTTATGAGAGCCCAGGTTGCTCTGATAGTCGTCTTCAGCTCCTCTGCATTGTTGGGTCTAGCGTATTGCATCCTCCGCTTCACAATACCCCATAGATTTTCTATGGGGTTAAGGTCAGGCGAGTTTGCTGGCCAATCAAGGACAGGGATACCATGGTCCTTGAACCAGGTGCTGGTGGTTTTGGCACTGTGTGCAGGTGCCAAGTCCTGTTGAAAGGTGAAGTCTGCATCCCCATAAAGTTGGTCAGCAGCAGGAAGCATGAAGTGCTCTAAAACTTCCTGGTAGACGGCTGCATTGACCCTGGACCTCAGGAAACAGAGTGGGCCAACACCGGCAGATGACATGGCACCCCACACCATCACTGACGGTGGAAACTTTACACTGGACCTCATGCAACGTGGATTCTGTGCTTCTCCGCTCTTCCTCCAGACTCTGGGTCCTTGATTTCCAAAGGAAATGCAGAACTTGCTTTCATCAGAAAACATAACTTTGGACCACTCAGCATCAGTCCAGTCCTTTTTGTCCTTGGCCCAGGCGAGACGCTTCTTGCGCTGTTTCTTGTTCAAGAGTGGCTTGACACACGGAATGCGACACCTGAATCCCATGTCTTTCATGAGTCTCCTCATGGTGGTTCTTGAAGCGCTGACTCCAGCTGCAGTCCACTCTTTGTGGATCTCCCCCACATTTTTGAATGGGTTTGTCGTCACAATTCTCTGCAGGGTGCGGTTATCCCTAGAGCTTGTACACTTTTTTCTACCACATTTTTTCCGTCCCTTCGCCTGTCTGTTAATGTGCTTGGACACAGAGCTCTGCGAACAGCCAGCTTCTTTAGCAATCACCTTTTGTGTCTTGCCCTCCTTGTGCAAGGTGTCAATGATTGTCTTTTGGACAGCTGTTAAGTCAGAAGTCTTCCCCATGATTGTGGTGCCTTCAAAACAAGACTGAGGGACCTTTTAAAGGCCTTTGCAGGTGTTTTGAGTAAATCAGCTGATTAGAGTGGCAGCAGGTGTCTTCTATATTCAGCCTTTTCAGAATATTCTAATTTTTTGAGATACCAAATTTGGAGTTTTCATTAGTTGTCACTTATGAATATCAAATTTAAATGTAATGAACATTGGAAATACATTGGTCTGTGTGCATTGCATTAATATAATGTACAAGTTTCACGTTTTGAATGGAATTACTGAAATATTTTCAACCTTTTGATGATATTCTAATTTACTGGCCAGCACCTGTATTCTGGGATGGTCCTAAACTTAAACAATACTTGGGAACTAAACAAAAAGATTTGTTAATGCAAAGGTGGATTTGGATCTGCAAAGATTTTTACTGGGCATTGCTCCACAGACTGTTCCAGGGAGAGTGATTGGAATAGAATGATTGCAGAGTTTTGGCTTGAACCACAACCTTCTAGAACAAGGCAATACATACATGTTCCAACCCAATGTTGGAAACATCTAGCCTGGCAAGCCAGACTAAATAAATGTATTATTTAGTCTGGCAACGCTCCATTGACGGCTCTCGGTTGTGAGGCGGGTTCTACCGTTGTCTTTCAAATGATCTCCGCACGCTACTGGACAATGAATGTGACATCCTCTTGTTTCACTCTGTTGCATCATCCCACCCACCAGGCATATAGAGTGCCCTGATTGGCCCACAAAGTGGATAAAGCTCTGTGATTTGTTCACTAAGCAGATAGAGCACTATGACTGGCCCACCATTATGGACCAATCACAGCTCTTTATGTGTTTGAAACCCCTCTAGAGAGCTGTGATTGGCCAGCCAGAATGCTGTTGGGGCTGCAGAGGTTCCAGTGGAGCGTTCCTAGACCAAATTTTGCAAAGCAAGAATTTGTTCTAGTTCACTAGGCTAGGAAACATCTTAAACAGGAAAGAAACAAGTCACAGACTGGGAACAGCCACTTACCAATAGGAATGGAGGAGATCTGGGTGTAGAGGTCCAGCATGCGGTTGCCGTCTACATCCACCAAGTAGTTTCCTCTGCTGTCGTCATAGTTACAGAAGAAATTAACAGCACCAACGTTCTGTAAGGAAACATGACCTGGATTGACAATAATCTTACTGCAGTCCAAACAGCAGAGAAAAAACTATCATAAACTAAACACATCACCGACCACATAACGCTGGAAATGAGACTCACCAGTAGAGGAACTAGTTAATGATGTTATTTGAACGTTTTCTCAAGGCATCCATTTTTGTATGTTGTTTGTTTATTTTTACTTTCTTCAATAATGGTCTTTGCTTACAGCTGCTTTCTGTCACTAATCTGTTTAAGAGGACCCCATGAAAACAAGACGGTGCATCTCATGAAGTTATTTCTCTACAAAAGGACTGTTTTACCTTTCTTGCTGACAGTTTTGACCACTCCTGCGGTCCTCTTCAGAGCTAGCCACTAACAAATGGAGAAGGAAATGACACTGTCATTAGCGGCTAGCTCTGATGAAAACCGCAGGAGTGGTTGAAACTGTCAGCAAGAAAGGTAAAACAACCCTTTCCTGTGTTAAAAGAAGTCAACTGATGCAATCAGAAGAGATACAGAGAATGAATACACAAAGGACGATTAAAGATGACTTCCTGTAAACACTGATTAATCAACCAGTCCTAATTTTAATGAATGTTTGACACATGAACTGGTTCTGTGACAAAGATACAAATAGTCAATCAGATTCAGAAGGTTTTATTGCCATGTGTGTGCCAAGTCACAACATTAGGAAATTGCTGCGGTATTTGGTGCAGTAGGTAAGAAAGAAAATAAATTAAGAGATAAGTAAATATAGGAAGTAATAAAACACTGAGGATAAAATTATTAATGTAAAAAGTGGCAAGAATTAGAGAAGCAGCTATCTACCCCGTGTAGGTACTAATCTGAGTGTTTTTCAAGCACAGCCTCGGGTCACATTACTGGGACCAATCGACTTGAGTGGGCTGCCCTAGGATTTTCGTTCAAAAGTCCAACTGCAGAGGGGAAGAAACTGTTTTTGTGGCGAGAGGTTCTGGTCCGAATGGATCTGAGCCTTATGCCAGATGGGAGCTAGTCGAAGAGACTGTGTCCAGGGTGACACAAGTCAGCTATTATCCGACCTGCACGCCTCAATGTCCTGGAGGTGTACAGATCCAGTATGGAGGGGAGTTTGCAGCCAATGACCTTCTCTGCAGAGCGCACGACACGCTGCAGCCTCTTCTTGTCCCTGGTGGTAGCTCCAGCGTACCACACGGTGATGGAGGAGGTGAGGATGGACTCGATGACTGCGGTGTAGAACTGCCTCATCGACTGTACAGATAGGTAGAATTTCTTCAGCTGCCTCAGGAAGTACATCCTCTGCTGGGCCTTTTATGGTGGAGGTGATGGTGGGCTCCCACTTGAGGTCCTGGGTGATGGTGATGCCCAGGAAGCGACATAAGTCCACCATCATGATGGGAGTGTCAGACAGGATTAAGGGGAGGTGGGTGGGGTGGGGGGTGGGTTGCCTAAAGTCCACAACAACCTCCGCTGTCTTCTGGGTGTTTAGCACCAGGTTGTTGTGGCTGCACCAGGACACCAGCCGTTCAGCCTCCATTCTGTAAGCTGACTCATCCCCATCAGAGATGAGTCCGATGATGGTGGTGTCGTCAGCAAACTTAATTAGTTTGACAGACTCATGCTTGGAGGTACAGCTGTTGGTGTATAAAGAGAAGAACAGAGGGGAAAGAACACAGCCCTGTGGTGAGCCGGTGCTGATGGCCCGTAGATCCAAGACATTCTTCCCCAGCCTGAGTTGTTGTTTCCTGTCTGTCAGGAAGTCAGTGATCCACCTGCAGATGGGGTCAGGCACATTCATCTGGGACATTTTGTCTTGGAGGAGGTCTGGCAGGATTGTGTTGAATGCAGAGCTGAAGTCCACGAACAATATCCTGGCGTAGGTACCTGGGGAGTCCAGATGCTGCAGGATGAATTGTAGAGCCATGTTGATTGAGTCATCTACAGACCTATTTGCTCTGTAGGCAAACTGCAGGGGGTTCAGGAGGGGGACTGTGAGGGTCTTGAGGTGGGGAGAACTAGGTGCTCAAATGACTTCATGACCACAGATGTCAGAGCCACAGGTCTGTATTAGCCTGGCAAGCCAGACTAAATAAATGTATTATTTAGTCTGGCCACGCTCCATTGACGGCTCTCGGTTGTGGGGCGGGTTCTACCGTTGTCTTTCAAATGATCTCCGCATTCCACTTGACAATGAATGTGACATCCTCTTGTTTCACTCTGTTGCATCATCCCACCCACCAGGCATATAGAGTGCCCTGATTGGCCCACAAAGTAGATAAAGCTCTGTGATTTGTTCACTAAGCAGATAGAGCACTATGATTGGCCCACCATTATGGACCAATCACAGCTCTTTATGTGTTTGAAACCCCTCTAGAGAGCTGTGATTGGCCAGCCAGAATGCTGTTGGGGCTGCAGAGGTTCCAGTGGAGCGTTGCTAGACCAAACTTTGCAAAGCAAGAATTTGGTCTAGTTCACTAGGCTAGGTCTGTAGTCATTAAGTCCAGTAATTCTTGGTTTCTTGGGGACAGGGACTATGGTGGAGATCTTGAAGCAGGCAGGCACATGAGATTCCTCCAGTGAGGAGTTGAAGATGCTCGTAAACACTGGGGCCAGTTCTTCAGCACAGTGCTTTAGAGTTGCAGGAGCCACGCCATCAGGGTGGGGAGTGAGGGGGAGGGTGATGAAGGTAAATTCCACAGTGATGGTAATGCTCTCTAGTGGGGAGTGGCTGACCATTGTCTCTATTGTTGGGGCTGGACGAGGAGTGGGGCCTGCCTGATGGCTCATCAAACCGACAATAGAAATTGTTTAGGTTGTTTGCCAACAGCAGATTATCGGTGGAGGTGGGGGTTCTGGGTTTGTAGTTGTTGATGTTCCTGAAACTTTTCCACACAGAGGTTGGGTCGTTTTCAGAGATTTGCTGCTGCATTTGTCATGATGCTGGTGTTTTGCTTTGACCAATTCTTTGCTGAACCTGTATTTAGTGTCTCTGTAGGAGTCTTTGTCTCCCCTTTTAAATGCATCTCTCTTTTCTAACCACAGCTGTTTGAGTTTAGGGGTAAACCAGGCTTTGTCATTGTTATAACTCACCCTGGTGTGTGATGGTATGAAGCTGTCCCGACAGAAGTGGATGTAGGAGGTGACGGTATCTGTGAACTCATCTAAACTGTCTGAGGTGGCCTTCATTACCTCCCTATTGTGGCCTCTAATGTGAGCTTTGGGCTTGTGTGTCATTAGCCAGGGAAGAGATGTTGGGCATGATGTTGATGACAGCCCATCAAAAGTCACAGGCGCATCAAGCGTGTTGTGTTTTGTGAAAACGGTCTCTGATAGGTACGTTGTTGTGAACGACAGGATGAACCTGGTTGTTGTAGGAAGCGAGTGTCGGGGCAACTCCCGTGTCCTTTTGCAATCCAAGACCTTCATCATACACGCTAAACGCAAGACCTTTGTTTCTGCTCCGATTTTTTATGAGATGGACTTAAAGATCCAGATACACAATATTACCATTTCTCGCAAACATTGTTCACAAATCAGTCTAAATGTGTGATAGTGAGCATTTCTGCTTTGCTGAGATAATCCATCCCACCTCACAGGTGTGCCACATCAAGATGCTGACCTGACATCATGAGTAGTGCACAGTTGTACCTTATACTGCCCATAATAAAAGGCCACCCTGGAACGTGCAGTTTTTTGCTTTATTGGGGGTCTGGGGACTCAGAACCAGTCAGTATCTGGTGTGACCACCATTTGCCTCATGCAGTGCAACACATCTTCTTCGCATAGAGTTTAGAGCTAAGGAAAATAATCAAATAATCAATGCATCGGGGGGCGGACATAAACGATTCTGCATCATAGAAGAGTACGCCATAATCGATTATAGTGGAATGTAGTTTTGTTTTTTTAATGACGGCACCAGCGCAGCATCCAAATCTGTCAGATTGAGCGTCCTCCACATTTACCAAGTGGTTCCGCCTTAATGTGGTACTGCAGGGCTGAGCGCTAGAGCTGTAACCTGAGATCGAACCGGAACCGAATCAGCCCGACCGGTTCTGTTGGATATGGGCCGTGAATTAAGTTAATTGAGCGGGTTGTCATGCGGCGCGCTCCGCTCGCTCGATCAGCGACTGAGAGAGAGAGACACTGCTCACACAAGAGAGAGGCTCGGAGGACGCTCCTCCAAACCGATGCTCCAAACACGCATTATTATTTTCATAATTTAATTACTATTTCTCCTGAAAGTGCTCAGTCAGACCGAGTGCTGTGATGCTGGGAGATCCGGTCTTGGGGAGGGGGCGGTGTCAATGACGGCGGCTGCAGCGTAACCTCTCTTTTATTTAGGGACACGGAGAAGTTAAAAGGAGAGAGAAATAGAAGATAGAAGTTCTTGTTCCACTTTATTCTTTTGTTTCATGAAGATAAACTGATGTTAAATTCAGCTGAAAGAGAAACTGGGAGGAAGCTTTGGTTCATTTTAAGTTACAGGAGGTCTTGTCTCCTGTCTGCTCCTCAGAGACAGCATGGACATGAGGGTTACATGGTGAGGGTCACACAGGACAGGTTAGTGGAAAGGTTTGTAGTTAGCTGGTTAGTGAAGAAGATCCATCAGCTGGGTAATTTAATCCTAATCCAGCCCACAGCCTTCTGCTGGTGTTATCAGAAAGAATAAAACACACATCTTAAATATTATTGGAAGTGTAGAATTTGTTTTATATTTTATTTTCTGCATCAAACAGAACTTGACTCATTCTCCAACATTCCAAAAACGAACCACTGGGTTCAAATAAAATAAATTAAGTCAAACATTTCATTTGGTGCTATTTCTGACATCCTTGAACTGTGGCATAAATATTTGACTCTAGAGCTGCTCAGAGACATCAAACACTCATATATGAACCCATTATGGATTTTATTATTACATTATGTGTCCTGTAGGTTTTCAGTACTTTTTTAGATTTTGTGAGTTTTTGCAAAGTGTGTTTTTCTCAGCCTGAGGCGTGGTGT